TCTGGTGTATCGCATGGTACATAACTGAGTTCCAAAATCTGAAGAGCATTTTAATTAGTTTTCAGCAGGTAACATGCTTAAAAAGTGCAAGGGACTTAAAATATATATGAAATCCTTGTAAAGAATTAAGACTATTCACTTAGTAAGTGAGATGGACATTCACTAGCTGATGAAAGTGAATTCTTTCACAAATGAATGATACGGATGGAAGAAATCTGGTTATCGAATTCAGGGTTGTATTGCGAAGCGTGGCTGAGAAATTTTACCGATAGACTTATGGAGAGCACACTAAGAAACAGTGATATGAAGCAGAAATTGTAATGGCGCAGGTTATCGCATCCCTTGACAGGCAGAAAATAAAACATCTGACAGAATTTTACGGCTACTCATGTTTCTGGTCCACTAGTAAGTAGATCAATGGGCTACGAAGAGCCACAAATCTGTACTGATACATTCAAAGACTATGAGCACGTTTAACATCATTTACTTATCAGTTGCTTTTATCTAGTACAACCAATTCAGGGCAAATGGTGCGAAACACCTAAGTAATACAAAACGAATTCAGTCAGTAGAATTGGAAGATGTGTCTAATGCTTCAGTATATGAAGTAGGATAAGCTACTTCCCTTCTTCGAAGCGAAACAAATCATATGAGAATTCTAGATGGTCAGTTTCTGAATGAGTATTTTTAATTGTTCTATCCAACTATGTGGCTAATAGACACTTTTAAGTCTAGTTAAGAAGATTTTTCTCAAGCAGACGACAGTTTCTCTTGAAGAGATGACATTTTGAGATACTAACACTGAAGAAAATAAAAGTAAAACTGGAGTGGTGTGTGCAAACAAAATCACGAGGAAATAAGAATAAGAGGATGTATAAATGAAAGCCCCCTAATATGGATTACTTTTGTTACACGAACCTGACTCGTGCATCTAGGTCTGACATTTGTGAGTTTCCTTTGTTACCAAAGTAGCCCAATTTCCAACATAAAACAGCTTTTCTCAGTGACAGAAATTAAGGTATCCAGGCACTTCTGAAATTAGACTGGAGCAAACTCCCAACTTCATACACTTGGAAATTACCTAGTCTCAACTTCCAACATATGCAAAATATTCTTTGATAAAAATCATTTTCATGTAATAGGCTTCTTGTAATCATATACTACAGCTGTAAGGAAGCTAGCTCATTATTCTGCCGTTTTGTACATACGTTTTGTTCATTCGATAACTAGTGATTCTGGACTATAGGCCAGTTTCGTTTTAAGGGACTAACTAACTTCATCTATTCTAAAATCTTTCTTGACTCCATCTCTATTAAAGTTAATGTGTTCCTCTTCAGTACAATAATTACAATAATTTCACATGGTCTAACTGAGTAATCTGACTATTAAATCTTTGCCTTATTCAATGTTTTCTCAGTGATCTTTGGTAACAAAGCAGCTTTTATACATTTATGGTTTCGACACAGTTGTTTTGGTTCAAAAGACGAGGACGAGGAGTAATTCCCAAAAACCAAACTAAAATGAAGCCTTAACAGCTTATTTTTTGTCCAGTGACAAAAACTGTTGCTTGGTGTTCATTAATATGACTTGAAATCGGTTCTCCTCGCTCAATACCACTCAAGATCAGATGGCCGGTCAGAAAAGATCAGCAACAGGGATCTCTGGGAGCAAAACAACCCAGGAGGAAGCAACTGTGGAACATAAATACAGGAAGAAATGGAGGTGGATTGGTCATACTCTGAGGAAACCATCAAGTGATATCACTAGACAGGCCCTCTAGTGGAACCCGAACTGGAAGCGGCGATTTGGTCGTTCAAGGGTGACTTGGAGGAGGTCATGTGAAGAGGAGATGGAAGCATGTGGGCAGACGTGGAGCCAAGTGAAAACGTTGGCAGGGAACCGAACGCAATGGAAACGTGAGGCTGAAGCCCTATGTTCCTCCAAGAACTAACTGAAAAATAATCTCCATGCTTTGGAATCTAAAATTCTTTATCTATTGCTTCATGCACCTAAATGTGTCATTCCATCTCCACGTTTCAAGTACTCTGATGTTTACTGAAGTCTGACGACTGAACTTGATAAGAAATTGTAAGGCCACATTACGAATTCACCGTGGTACACTTCAGAAGTGATTTTTCTTGGGGTTTTCATGAAGAGCTAAGTCAGTGAGTTTAAATACTTAATCTCATCGATTACCTCAAAGAATCATTTAATTCGCATGCAGCTAATGCAGAAGTGTATTACAAGTTTCTCTTCTAAATCAATTTGATCTGTTATTAATAATGTTATGGAGTGTTATGCATAGTCCACTCATATCTTTTGGTACACATTTTTGTCGGTGTCTAGTAATTTTCATGAAAGTTATGTAAAATGGAGGATAACCTTGGTTTGAAAAGAATTAACATCCTAATCTAGTCTGAAGTGTACAGGTTGAATTCAAGTTATAACCAGAAGTTTATATCCTGTAAAAATGCCTCTAATATGTGGAAACTTTTTAAAGAAATTACTGGTGGTATGCAGGTGAATAGTATTCCTTATTCCTTTGATGTTTGCACACTAAACAAGTCTTTCATACATTCTCCAACAAATGCCAAACTTTCTTGTGTTACAAGTGTTAATGAAGCCTGCTTCCCTGGTTTCAACACAAATGATGTTCTAAAATGTCTCCAGTCTATGAACCCTTCTTGTAGCCTGGGTCCAGAAGGTTTGCCTAGTGTTATTCCTAAAAAGTGTGCAGATATTCTGTGTTATCCTCTCATGAACATATTTAACGAATCTTTTTCCAAAAATGTCGTGACAGCCGTTTGGAAGGACATTAAAATTGTACCTATTCCTAAGTCCTCTACTGCGACATGTTTTAAATTTAGACCCACTGATATTACTTCCCCTTTTCTAAAAGCTATGGAAAAGTTGCTCTTACTTTATCTTCAACCTTCACTTAAAGCCTTTAACGATCCCAAACAGTTCGCCCATAAACGCAGTAGAAGTATTTTAGATGCAGCTGCAGTCTTGTATCATAACATTGTCTCCAGCTTAGACAAGGGGACCAAATTTGTTCGCTGCACCTTCCTAGAATACACATCTACTTTCGACTCGATACCTAAGGACATTTTGTTAAACAAGCTTGCTGAAACTCAAACTGACTGTTGGGTTGTCAGATGGCTGATTCTTATTTTTCAGGAAGAAAACAGTACACTGTATGTCAAGGAAAGTCGTCCACTTCATTGATTACTGAAGCTGCTGTCCCTTAAGGCGCTGTCCTTTCTTCTTTTCTGTTTTCTTTCTTCTTGCATGACTTGCCTCACTCTGATGAAATGAACTTTGTTAAGTATGCCGACGATCTAACTATTTCAGTGTCTGTTAACTCCCAGCTAGACTGTACTAAGTGCGTCAGTGGAACAGTGGTGGAATGCTCGCCAACAACGCATGTGGTTCGGGGTTCGATCCCCGGCCGCCGACACACTCCTTTACTTCACTAAGCGAGTAATAACACCGGTAAAGAGGGAAGGTTGGGAATGACGCTAGCAACCCCATCCCGCAAAAATAAACACCATTGCCACCGAAACTTCAACCCTGTAGCTTGGAGCCCTATATTCCACTGCGAACGTAAAGGAATAAAAAAGACTGTACTAAGATGACTAGCTTTCTATCAAGAGTTAGAAAATGGTCTTCGTCCAATGGTCTTAAACTAAATCCTTCCAAATTTCAGACTGTTAATTACAGTTTTCGATGTAAAAGAAAGTTAAATGAAGCTGTTAATTCCTATGACCGTTGAAAAATTGATGATACTGATGTAGAAATCAAGTCTGATGTGAAGTATCTTGGATTGATTTTTCTACTGACCTATTCTGGTCTTCCCATGTCTTAGCGATTTCTAAAAGAATATTTCGTTTCACTTTTTACATTAGGGAGTTAAGGCACTCAGGCATAACTCAACTCCTCCTCCTCCTCTTACAGTTCGTCAACTCGTGCATTGTATCCATTCTTCTTTACTTTTCACCCTCATTCTTTGCTGGATTGCTTAAAAAGGACTATGTCATACTTCGTTGAGCTCTGAAGACTGTCAGTAGGACGAGTGGTATCCTATTGGGCCATATCGTTGGCATTGTCACTGATAGGCATTTGATGTCATGCAACAAATTCGCTAGAGGAATTTTGTCAGACTCTGAGCACCCATTCTACCCGCAGCTCCAACCTTGTATCTCCTCCTGAGGTAAAACAAGAAGTCTTTTCAGAAGAATTTATGCACGTACGTCTAAGTATAAAAATTCCACTATACCATATTTAGCACGTACTCTATGTGATGAAAATAGTGTCAGGCATGAACTAACTAACCTTCTTTGCACTACTTAGTAAACCATTTCCTCCACCCTTATAACATCAAGCTTTATTTTTATTGTACTTCCTATATTTATAATCCTCTCAATTTTTTGTTTTTATTTGTTTATTTTTTCATAAGTGTGAACATAATTTAAGCTGTGTTATAACTGTTAATCTTTACTCATTTTGTACTTCGAATAATTTTTAACTTTATACCTTAAATGTGGACAAATTCCCCTAGTTGATTTTGTCGTAATTTTATTTATATTTTGAGTAAATCAGATGCAATATTGTGACAAATGCTGAGAATTCCATTCTGTATTATAAGTACTGTTTTCGGCAATAAAGCAGTTTATTATTATCAATTTGTATACATCCATTTGGGCATAAAGTGTCACCAGTATTAAAGCTGGTGAGTTTCGGTAGTAAATTTAAAGAAGGACTAAAATATCTTGCTTCCTGATGTCAGTTTCATGTTGTTTTTTTTAAATAATTAATTATTCAAATAACGCATCTTTCTTAAGAATCCCAGTCAGGCTTGTAATAAGACCAGTTGTAATTCCTTTACAATGACTTCATTAGGAACAAAATTATAGGGTAATTTTTTGAATAACAGTCACTTCCTCAAATTATTGTTACTTTTTTTAAAATTATTGCATTCACAAAATGTAACCGATGCTTTATATACCTAGGCCACAAATGCAATCAGTGTGGCAGTGAGGAATATCCGACTCAAGAATATCATGTACCTTTTGTTTCGGTAACCATAGACGGTCGACATCAATGTGTAGAAGATTTGCCATAACATGTTTTTCAACATCCACAAAGGATTCAGGCACACCAGGTTGTTTCATCAATAACGGGCCTACAAGATCAGCTATTCGGCGTACTGAATATTCGTTCACATGCGGTGCAGTAGAAATGTTTGTCATTGTCCAACTTTCACCTCTTTGCTTTCTTAATCTACTCACACAAGAAATATTATATCGTCGGACAAAATGGATACAATTTCTTATAATAAATCGTATTAAATTACGTTGATTTATATTACCGATAAGGTGTATATCATGGAAGATGCACTTAATAAATTTATTGCTTAGTCTGATTAACTCCAGTTTCGTTGGTTCTTCTTGTAGGTAGTATGTCTGAATCAAAGGGTGGACTATTTCATCCTTAGGTTTTTTTGCACGGCGATACTTCGATGTGGTATCTTCTGCACCGATTTCATCGTAGTATCTTCTTATCTCACTGTATAAATGTTCACTAATCATAAAGTCATAGGGATGGGCAGGCTTTAAGAAAAATATTTTAGAACAGTTATGAGCTGTTTTAAACGTCAGAGGTAACAGTGGACTTGGTAAACGTTGAAGTATTTCTAATATGACATAAAATATTAAAACAGCTTTTGCGCCATGTAAAGCTGCCCTAATATCTTCAATTGTTTCACAGTTTAACAAAATTTTATCAGTTAACGTGTTTACAGTCTTTTTCGATGGTGGTTTAGCTTCAATAAAGCTACTACCCAAAGATAATTCACGTTCGTGTTTTTCTCGTAGAGTTATCATTGGCACACCGAAACAAATCGGTATTTCAATATACTTTTCATCTACATTTACATCATCATTTGTATGAACAGTTAAGAGGAGACTATCAAATGACATCTTGGGCATTTTATCCAGCATTTCTCCGAGTTCATCATTGTCATCATCATTAGCTGAAAGATCATTGAACATACTTATACAAAGATTGTGTAGCTAGATATAAATCGATTATGACCTTGAGATTAACAAAATCATCACTGTCATATTGACTATTTCGATTTGTATATCAGTATTCTAAAGCGTTATTCACCAGTTTCCAAACGTTGGTATTTCTGTTGCGTGACACACATGTCTGTAATTAACTGATATAAGTAAAATTAATGGACATAACATAATCCGTGAGATAATTTCCAGCTTGTATGCTAAGTTAAAGCTCAGAATGTAGTAAAATGTATTTCAATAGCTAAATTTAAGCAATTCACACAACTGTGAACTGTACCTCTTATGAGAGAAAGAATTTACTGAGAAGAAACACACAGCTAAGCTGTTCACCGTATAGGATCACGACAATGAAATACTAACAAAGGCACAATGATGTTTGTGTCAGCGAAAACTACATACCAGGAGACAGAACTGATAAAATAAAATAAAGTATATAATATGCATCCTAATCTACTATCTTCCTAATATATTATTGTTAGCCAAAGACGGAGTAAGTTGAAAGAAGCGGAGGCGTAACAAAGTATTGTACCCATCCATGAATTCATCTACTACTGGTCTAAGCATTGTAATAAAACCTTCACTTCCTGACCTCGATCCAAGTGACTGTTGGAACCTATGTTTATAGAAGTTTGGTTTCCTTATTCGGAAAATCATAGCATTGACACAGACTAAGTGAAGTCTTGCTATATTTTCAATTATAACAGCTTATTTCATTATTTGTTTTGTTATATCCTTTTATCTCGTTAAATTCCACAACCTTTCACCGTATTACTGTCTTTTTAATTTTCATTGGTGGGTAGAAAGGAATTATAGAAAATCAGATGGGTATTTTCTCTGCCACTGTTTGTTTTCAGAAGAAGAAAGTGAATCTATGCAACTGTGTTGATGTGTTGAAAACACTGAAGACGTTATTAAAATTGTATACAAATACTTGGTCTGACTGATTGACTGACTGGTTTCAATGTAGAACTTTGCGCAAATGTGCAGCAGTTCAACTAGCCGCAGTCCCTACTTGTAGCACACAGAGCAAGAGAAGAGAGCGAAGAGTAACTCATCAAAAGAGAGATAATAAACAGAAGTTTGAGTGAGGGAAAGAGAATAGTAATATCGAATATTGGATATTACAAGTCACAAGGAGTGGATACATCTGCACCATCACCAAGAACGATTTTTTAACCACATCGCCATTTGCCTCCAATCATTGGTTTTTACCATCCCAAGGACCTCAACCAGTCAGGAAGTCTACACCTCCCTACGTAGATAGCTTTTATTAACTGTTGTGGATTTCATTGACTGATGCCATGTCTTGCTTTGACCATTACTGGCTCTTTTTCTACCTGACCCTATGTCAGCTAACATCGCCCGTCGAGGAAGGTGATGGTTAGGCATGCGTAGCACATGTCCTCACCATCTTAATCGATGTAACTTCACAGCCTCGTCAGTTGATTTCCCCTCCTTACCTAGCACTCGACTGATGCCTAACCTCAATATTGCTCACCCTATTATACCACTTGACACGGGAGATAAAACGCAGGCACTTGGTTTAAGAAACGTCTCGTTACCTATGCCGATATTCATTGGCATAGTTATTTAAGAATACTGGAAATATTGAATAAAAGGGATTTACCAACTTCTTCATCTGTATATGAGCAAAAATCAGTTAAGAGAACTGTACTCTGAATGCTAGATTTAGGCCACAAAAACTGAATCCCGACACCGATGTGTTACTCCTAATTTTGATAGTTGAAATCAAGGTTTCCTGAAGATACTACGCTAGTGTAGTGCTTTCAGCTTGAATGCGGTTCTAATTTTCATATGTTTTCTACTCTTCTCCTCGAAAATACTTACGTTCTGTTTTGCGATGAACAGAGAAATGGAGGTCCTTAATAAGCAACACTGATAATGTCAGACAAGATATAATCATTCTTGATTTTCATGTTGTTGACTACCAATAAATGAACAATTTTCTCAGTGACAGCGCTTTGTGACATAGACAAAAAATGGGATTCATTTGTTAAAAGTGTAGCCTTTTCATAGGCTTCTGAACAGAATAAAGAGATCCATTCTCAGGGTATCAATATGCATCCATGCCTGAAAATGTAGACATTCTGGAGATAGTTTTTATCTAAACTACTGAGCACATATTTATATTGTTGCATTCAGCTTTGATATAAACAAATCTCCCGTTATTCATGCCTGCTTGTTTACTACAATCAAGACTACAACTGATCACTATTATCGCAAGATAAAGTATAAGTAAGTATAAAGCAGAAGTATTTATTTAATAATTGTATCCTTTAATTCCTACAGGAACATAGGGCTTCAGCCGTGCGTCTCCATTGCGTTCTGTTCTCTGTTAGAGTCTTCATCTGGCTCCATGTCTGCCCACACGTTTTCATCTCCTCTTCTCACGACCAACTCGCCGCTTCCCTTTCGAGTTCCACTCGAGCAATGGCTTGTCTAGTGATGTCACTTGATGGTTTCATTGCTCAGAGTATGGCCAATCCATCCCCATTTCTTCCTGCCTATTTGTTTCACAATCGGTTCCTGGTCGGTTCGCTCCCAGAGATCCAACTCTGTTGCTGATCTTTTCTGGCCATCTGATCTTGAGGGGTATTGAGCGAAGACAACTGTTAATGAAGGTCTGTAGTTTGTTTGAGATGCTCTTTATGACGCTCAATGCAAGTCTCTGATCCGTATAGTGAGTAGCACGGACTTCACATTGGAGTTGAAAATCCGGATCTTATATTTGATGCTCAGAGTTCTTGACCACCACACAGACTTGAGAGTGGTGAAAGCTTGTCTTGCTTTTCCGATTCTTACTTTGATATCCTCGTCAGTTCCATCCGCCTATAGCTGAAACGATGCTTCCCATGTCGGTAGGTAGAAGGGGTTGTTTCTTTCAGGTTCCTCCCATTTATGCTGATTGTTGTCAGTTGTTGTTGTTGCTGTTGGTGGTGTTGCTCAGGAATTCTCATCACCTCTGTTTTCTCTATGTTCACCTGAAGTCCTATCTTTGATGCTTCTTCTGCCAACTTGTTGCTTTTCGCTTGCATTTCTTCCAGCAGAAGTATAACTCTCTTCAATTAAAAATTCCATCTTATACTTCTCATATACAATTCTCAATTAGATTGTTTTTAATTTGACGTTGTCTAACACTTTATCCTATGAAAAATTAAACACTCAACAGATTGACTAAGTAACCGTTCGCAAGAGTCTGGGCAAACATTTGACTGATGTGAGAAAATGAAATATTTCATGTCAAGTAAAGTTTGTTTATTTTGCATACACACTTGGTTAAATTTATACAATGAACAGATAGGTAGACCGATCAGCTTATATAAACATTACAGTACCTGCTATAACCATAAATTGATGAAGCTTACTATCATGCACAAAGGCTCATCAAGCTGAAAGTTAGACAGATAGACAACGATGAAATACGGGAATGAACAAGTAAAGTGGCATTCAGTATTGGAAAATTTACAAAGGAAATATGCACGTGTGACAAAGTAGAGTTAATATAAAATGGTAATTTCTGAATAAATCTGACTAGCGGTGATCAGTTTGTCCTAAAATTCCCTAGTTGAGAGCAAAGCAGTTTGTCTGCTTCCAGTTAAAAGAAAATTTAGGAAGCAACGAAATGATTTTTTTGTCTCATTCCTGTTCAAACACGGTGGTTGACATTTAAGTGCATGGAGGATTTCATCAGGAGCTGACATTAGTTAGAGAACCACTGGAAAACCTGGGAGTACTAGACAGCTGTTTCGTCCTAGTTTGGTACTCCTCATCAGTACGCGCCCACTGGGATTCGAACCCAGGACCTTCTGGATACAAGGCAAGCTCGTATACCATTGAGCCACTGGGACCCGAAACAGCTGTTCAGTATTCCCAGGTTTTCCAGTGGTTCTCTAACTGATGTCAGCTCATGATGAAATCCTCCATGCAATTAAACAAAATCCCTACCAAACCAATACTTGACATTTAAGTATTTAACATTTCATCTGTGCAGAGTACATAGAACATACACAGAATGGGACAGGTAAACAAAAACCACTAGATAAAATTAGTAACTTAAACAATGCACACTATGTATTTATCTAATATGATGAGTGGGTTAGTGCTGTTTCTGTGTGTTCATGTAATACTACCATCATTTGTCGCTATTTTTGTGGATATTTTCCACTTTTGTACAAAGTAGCCTTCTAAATGTACAGCAGATAAATACAACAAGAATGTATCGCAGCCCTATCGCTTATCACGTCTATCCAAAGAATGAGTATAAATACACCAGGTGTTTTTTTTTTATAAAGACAACTTCTTTTGCAACCATGGACTTCTGTTGTCGAAGTGGACAATAGGGATGAATTAGCGATTTAAACGAAAAGAATGAAATAAAATATTCCATAATCTTCATTCATTACCATCTAATATATAATGTTGAGCAGTCGTCCTGTGATTTAACACTACATGAATAATCAACATCGCTTTAATTCAACTTTATGCTTATTTATTACTTCACACAATTTCGTGAAGCTGATTGTATCAGATGTCGTAGGCGGCTTGTCAAGAGGCATGTTATCAAATACTGTACTGCTTATTCTATTAAAAAGGAATAGTGGACAGATTCATATCATCTGCCTTCCTCTTGATTCACATTTTCAGCAATAAAGTCTAAGTTTTTACCACCTTTTTGTAACTGAAGCGCTAGTTACGCATAAATAGAAACAAAAATCTCTACAAAATAAACTTTTTTTACATCTGTTTGTTTAACTTCACCCTGATAGTGTTTTCCTTTTCCAACCAATTTGATCCTCAACGATGTCTTTATTAGTTCACATTTTTTTAACGAATCTGACCGACTTCTGACGTCATAGTAATAATATTTATCGCCGGTTATCTATTACAACACTCTCTCTAATTTTATTTATGCTCGATAGGGCACTTTAGTGGGACTAAGCGGATTTTCA